GCGTGCGATGTGTGATATTTACAGCCATTGCGCGAAGAGCACAACACACCACAGAAATCACACCCTAGCTTCGTAGAATGAATAGTTCTATATATATATATTTAAAAAAAAACACAGCGCATATTTTCCACGGCTTATCAAAAAGAAAACAGCAAAAAAAAAAACAGCATCTCCCTCATTTCTTCGAGCGAAGGTTGGGTAACTTGTTTCGCGGTTGCTCAACGGTAAGGCGAGAGATCTGACACTCGACTTCAGGGCGCGGGCGCACATGGCCGCGACACCTGCAGCCGCCTCGGTGCAGACGGGGCCGTGGGGGAGACGCGTGGAACGGCACCGCGGCGGCCCTGTTTGTCACAGCTGCAGAAACACCGCCGTCCTGCCGTCGCCACTCGGCACTCCCGCGCACAAAAAAAAACAACAAAACAAAACAAAACCCGCCGTCCCAGGAACGTTGAATGTTGTGGGGACGTTTCCAAGGGGACGCAACTATATTTATATCTTACCTGATCTCCTTTTTGTATCAGTAGAGCTCGGAGCGTGACGAAAGCTGAGGTCTGCTGTTCTCGGAAGAGCTCGCTAGTTCTGGATAACGGTTTTCTTATTCCCGCTGTCCGTGAATGTCCGTTTGGGCTGTCTCTGATGTTAGGGAAACAACACCGGCTGTTGGAGAAATTCGACTACAGTGGTCCTGCGTCCGTTTTGCTCTGATCTTAATCCTGTAGTGTCCAGTGGGATTCAAGTCCGTCCGCCATTTTTGTTTGTCGGGCTCTTGAGTTAACCTGTCCGCCGCCTTTGTGAGGCCTGAGTTTTCTGTGTTCGTTCAGACAAGTGCTTCAGAGTCCGATTGCTACGACCTGTTTGGTTGCTTTGTGTCCCCAATTTCAGAGACGAATGCATATAAGGAAAAACACAGTGCTGCCTCCCAGTGCTCTCAGTGCTGGGTTTTTGAGTTCAATTTCAGGAGTACTGTCTGTGTGGAGTTTGCATGTTCTCTCCGTGTTTGTGTGGGTTTCTTCAGGGTGCTCCAGTTTCCTCCCACAGTCAAGAGCTGGTAGGTTAAAGGGCTTCTGGGAAAACTGGCCCTGGCCTAAGTGTGTGTTTGTACCCTGCAATTGACTGGTGTCCCATCCAGGGTGTATCCTGCCTTGTGCCCATTGCTTGCTGGGATAGACTCGGTCACCCCCATGAGCCGATATTGTATAAAGTGATTATTGAAAGAGATCTTCTCTCAGTGTGATGTTGTGGACCTGGGGTGTGTTAAGTAGCTGTGAGGCCGAGTCCCATGAGACTTAATAGGTCCCCCTCAATCAGAGGGGCTCCAGCCCCAGTCCAGTGAGTCTGATACATACGAAACCAGAGGTCATTGATCAGTTAAGGATGATTCACCAAAGAGGTGAAGAGGGTGACTCACCCCTCCCTGACTCAGCCATCGCCACTGTGTCATAGTGGGAAACTGAAATGTCTTTGTTTCGGAAGAGATGTGAAACTGCAAACACAAAAACAAACCCCTCTCTGCTCTCCACCTCCATCTCCAGCTATAACTCACGCTGCAGGTCTGACGAGGCGACAGCCTGTTCTAACCCTGGCTCCGTGTGTCAGAGCATACAGAGCAAACGTTATGAAGTGGAATACACTTGAACACGATGTGATGTCCAAATTGCAGTAGATTTCCTGTGATAGGCTCTCTCTAGACAGGATCTTCACCACCCGACGCGCCTGATTCTAAGTAATGGTCTTGCGTACGCCCTTGCTATAAAAAGACATGCAGTATGCAGGGGAGTAATAAAGATAAATATATTTCTTTAAAACCCCTTTTCATCTTGGCTGATAGAATAGCCTCGTATTCTTAATAAACACTCAGAAGATCAGTCTAAATAAATTTACACATTCCATGTGCATGATGCTGAGCTAACCCTTAGCAGCTACATCACCCTGCAGTCTGGGTGGGTCCTAATGTTCCAGTATAGTGACTGGGGCACAATACTGTAAAAAGGTGCTGTCGTTTGGATGAGACGTAAACCTGAGGCCCTGACTCTCTGTGGTCATTAAAAAACCCAGGTTGTTTCTAAAAAAAAATAGGGGTGTTTCCCCAGTGTCCCGGCCAAATTTCCCCCTGTCCTTTACCAGTCATGGCCTCCTAATAACCCCCCTCTCTGAACTGGCTTCCTCACTCTGCTCTCCTCCCCACTGAGAGCTGGTGTGTGTGAGCAGACTGGAGCATCATCCAGGTGGGGCTGCACACTGGTGGTGGTGGAGAGGAGTCCCCATTACCTGTAATATGTCCCAAAGAGCGCTCTATAAGAAAGGAATTAATAATTCATTACATTTTGAGACTGAACACAGCTGCCACCTCACTCAGGTCTGCAGCCCGAACTTGAGCCTCTAGAATGTCTCTTTCTGTTCCTCACCTGTCCCTCTCCTTCTGCTTCGACCCGCTGAACGGCGAGGCTGCTGGTGCAGACACTCAGAGCCTTGCAGAAATACTCAGCACCTGGCAGAGTTTTCACACCCTGTGACAGAAATCGGGTGGCTGTGAATATGAAAGACCCTGTTATTCTCTTCAGCTGTATGAAGACAGGTTTGTGCTTCTAGACAGAAGGGCCCAGGCTCAGCAGAGACAAGCACCATGAAGGTCTGCTTTGCATTGCGGCTGATATCAATTTACCATTTAATGGGGAGGCTGAACAGGTCTGTGAGATCCTAGATTTCAGTCTGGAAACATGGAAATGACTCTCCTGCTGCTGTTTCGTTGTCATTAGGAGTCTCCTCTAGCCCAGCGTTTCCAGTTTTGTGTTTATAGTTCAGTCTTACAGAGGTATTCAGAGTCTCACAGTTTTCACACCCTGTGACTTTAGAGCCTGCAGTCATGGCACTTCGAAGCAGCATTAGGATTTGTGATAAACACCACCGACCCGACACATCAACAACAAAAACAGAATTAAATCAATTATCAATGCAAAATAAAAATGTAAGAATCGTGATTGCATGCAAATCCTTTGCCTTGGTAAAAATAGATTAATTTAGGTGCACATAATCACCTTAATGAGCCACACAGTTAGTTTAGTAGCCTCTGTCTGTGCAGTAATATACTGTTTCTCATGAGTTCAGAATAAACTGTAAAACTGTGTCTGTAAGACCCTGCAGTTAAGTGGTGAATTACAGCCAGAGACTCAACCCAGGAGCTTTCAGAACAACTCAGGGATAGAGGTGCAGAAAATCACAGGTCAGAAGACATTAGAAAAACATTTTGAAGAGTCTCGACATCTCTAAGAGCTGGAAGGGGTGGACCGTTAAGAAGTTGAGGCAGGCAGACACTGCCTGGACCAGTCTGTGTCTCTAAACCAGTAGGACCTTGGTCACAGAGCTCCTGGCTGATGTGGCAGAAAATGTCCAGCAGTCAACAGTGCCCCCGTCTCTCCAGGCCAGGGGGCTTGTATGACCTGAGAAAAACTCCAATCCCTCGTGGAATTTGGAACAAAGCGCCCAGGTGATTCTGCAAACATGTGGCAGAAGGTTTAGTGATCAGACAAGACAAAACTGGACCTTTCTGGTCCGAATGCAAAGGGTAATATCTAACACAACCCCAGAATGGTGCGTCACCCAGTCAGAACCATCCCCGCCGCGAAATTCTGTTTGAATTTCTACCCAGAACACACCTTGGGAGAAGAAAACTTTCATTTCCCAAATCAAAAGTTTAAATGGCGCAATCATAGGCTTGAATTGAGAGATCTTATGTAATTATGGGCGGCACAGTAGTATCCTGACCTGGCCCTGGTGTGTGTGTGTGTGTTTGTGTCTGTCTGCCCTGTGATAGTGTGTGAGAGTGTGTGTCTGTGTGTGTCCTGTGATGGACTGGTGTCCTGTCCAGGGTGAACCCTTGCTTGTGCCTGTTGCTTGCTGGGATAGACCCCAGCTGCCCCACCGACCTGAACCGCATGATGTGGATAGAAAATTAATGGGTGAGATCATGTCAGTAAGAGAGATCCCAGAAGATCAGATCAGTAAGAGGTTGTGTGAGAACTAAAACTAACTAAAGAGACAGTCATAATGAAATTAACAAGTGGAGAAGAATTACATGTCTTTCAAACCCTTGTCCCAGACGTTACAGTCATGGTGGTGGTTGACTAAGAAATTTCATCTGACACCTTTGGAGAAGAGAATTAATGTTTCCTGGACACGTCACTTCTGCTCACAGCTCTTAAAGGGGACAGAGAGGAGACCCATCACTGATCTTTTCAGAGTACATGCATCAAACACGCTGGAAAGATCTGGCCACAGCAACGCTGAGTTTTACTCCAGTGGTGTTAGGAAAAAATTTCGCAGTGCAGTCCTGTCACCTGGGAGCTATGGTTTTTCATTTTAAAATTGCTTAGAAAGAAATCATCACAGTGTGCATAGCAGTATCCCCCCCAGTAGTAAACACCTACAATAACAGTGACAAGAACTCTAACGAGCTGCAAGTCCAGAATATCTTCCGTCTTAAAGGGGGCCAACGGGCTTCACACACAGGAAGGAAGACAGAGGTGCTTTCAGCACTGGACTGCTGCTGCTGCTCTAAGCAAAGGTCCAGTTTTTGGTTCTGGCCCTGTCCATTCTGCCCGATTGGTAGTTAAAAAAAATATCCCCATCCCAGCTGTTTCTCGAGAGAAGTCAGGGTATCGGCTTCAACAGCATGGCTGGGGCAGCTTGTGCCCCACTCCCACCACCCTCTGCGTAAAGAACTGCCTCCTGTTCTCAGTTGTAACGGCTCTTCCACCCTCACCACTCCCGATTGTTTGGATTCAGCTTTGAATTCCTGTCCTCCCGTCTGTCAGGCCTGACCAGAGCGGCCGGGCCAGTCTTCCGAGCTCTTTTCAGGAAAGAGGGGTTTGTCTCCACCTGGGCGAGGTGGCATGAAAGGCGACAGAACCGTCAAGGCCGGCGGGTTTTGCCCTGGACCCCAGGGTGTCCCAGTCTGTGATAGGCTCCCTCCCTAATGTGACCTGTCTTGTGTCCGACAGCGGGCGGAGTCTCCGAGGGCTTCAACATTGACACCACCAGCCCCATCATCTACAGCGGGAGCTCTCAGGACTACTTCGGATACAAGACCATCCAATACGGAGCGGGACAGGAGAAATGGTGAGCTATTCCAATCTCAGCTCCGTACAGCATCCCTGGAGACTTGACACTGCTCACTGCGAGAGTTAGACGTTTCCTAATGCTCCTGAGGTGACTGTACTCGCCCACGGGAATTGGGTGATTATATTTCTCACGGCGTTCCCATGATGAAGGTGAAGGCCCTGTTTTTATTTCAGCAACAGAAGATCTGATGGGCTGTTGTCCTCTCCAGTGTGTGTGTGTGTCCTGTGATAGACTGCTGTCCTGTCCATCGTGTTTCCTGTGACAGACTGGTGTCCTCTCCAGTGTGTGTGTCCTGTGCTGTGTGTGTGTGTGTCCTGTGATGGACTGCTGTCCTGTCCATTGGTTTCCTATGATGGACTGGTGTCCTCTCCAGTGTTTGTGTCCTGTCCTGGGTCTGTGTGTGTGTCCCGTGACAGACTGGTGTCCTGTGTGTATGTATGTCCTGTGATGGACCGCTGTCCTATCAGGTATGTGTGTTCTGTCCTGTGTGTGTGTCCTGTAA